TGCTGCTGTGGGAGAGGCGGACTGACGGGTGGGCTCTTGTGGCTTGGTGCCTAGAGGCGCCAGGGCGGGGTGTAGCTCAGCTGCTGGTGCTTACCTGTCACGAGCAGAGTCCTGGTTAATCCCCAGCACTAGGTAATTGGCTGTGGCTGTGCGCACTTTTAAGTTCAACACACAAGGAGTAGAGAAAAGAGGATCGGGGGTTCAAAGACAGCCTGCCTGGGCCATATCTTGAGTTTGAAATCAGAAATTACTACACAAGACACTGTCTTGAAAAACAAAACAACAAAACGAAAGAAAACAGTCAGAGGTGTGGAGGGCGTGGAGACACAAGACAGTAGGGATTCAGTAGGCATTGGGAAGCCTGGAAGCCAGCCGTGTGGCTGCAGTCAGAGAGGACACCGGTGTTCACTGTCTCAATGATGACAAAGTCCATGTGGTGGCCATGGTGAGCCTGAGGGTGAGTGATCGTAGGACTGGGAATGGCAGTGGACTTCGGCACGAGAGGATGCATTCCTACAGAATCGAGGGCAGGTGTGAGGCGCGATGAAAGATAGTGGCTGGGGACTGGAGAGATGGCTCAGTGGTTCAGAACACTGACTGTTCTTCCAGAGGACCCTGGTTCAATTCCCAGGACCCACATGGCAGCTCACACCTGTCTGTAACTCTAGTTCCAGGGGATCTGATACCCTCACATCAATGCACATAAAGTAAAGTTAAATAAAGTATTTAAGAAAAAAGATAGCAGCTGCTGGGCGGTGGTGGCACACATCTTTAGTCCTGAATTTATTTATTTTTTTTTTTTTTTTTTTTTTGGTTTTTCGAGACAGGGTTTCTCTGTAGCTTTGGTGCCGATCCCGGAACTAGCTCTTGTAGACCAGGCTGGCCTCGAACTCACAGAGATCTGCCTGCCTCTGCCTTCAGAGTGCTGGGATTAAAGGCATGCGCCACCACTGCCCGGCTTTTATTTATTTATTTATTTATTTATTTATTTATTTATTTATTTATTTATTTATTTTTTGTAAATCCAGCACTCTGGAGGTAGAGACAGGTGAATCTCTGAGGCCAGGACAGGCAGGGCTACACAGAGAAACCCTGTCTCAAAAAAAACAAAGGGAAGAAAGAAAGAAAAAGAAAGAGAGACAGACAGACAAGAGAGAGAGAGAGAGAGAGGAAGGAAGGAAGGAAGAAAGGAAGGAAGGAAGGAAGGAAGGAAGGAAGGATCTGAGATGTGTGTTATAGTGCAGTGGGTGGTGAGTGAAAAATATGGTGTGGGTGTGTGTTTGTACACGGTGTGTAGTGTGTGGTTTGTGTGTGTGGCACGTGTGGCCTGTGCTATGTGGCTGCTCTGGAGAAGGGTGTGAGGGACCCAAAAGAAGCCCTCCCAGGGGTGCACCCCTTCAGTCATATCAGCAGAAGGCCCGTGTGCAAGGGGCAGAAGCTGCTGACATGCTCCTAAAGCCTGTGCCCTCCTCTCAGTCAGCCACTGACTTCAGGACAGAACCAGAGCTTAAGATGAGCCTCAGCCAGGGAGGCTGCTTCCTGCCAAGTCTGCCAGCCTGGGCTCAATCCTGGAGCACCAAAGAGTGGGAGAGGAGAGCGAGGGCTGTGGGTCGTCCTCTGAGCACACACACACACACACACAAACACACACACACAGTTGTGAAACACCGAAGGAGAGCTTTGGGCTAATAGATGTCACCCTGGCAGACACCCAGTGCCACCTTGGCAAGGCTTCTGTCTCTGCCACTTCTAGTCAGACCATGACAGCTCGAGGCGGCACCCCACTCCTGAGGAGCTACACCCCACATGCTTTCCCAATGCCTTCTCTACAATAACATTTCATGTTCTTAAATTCTCCTTGTGACAGTGATCGATGTCCCTCACGGGGGAGCGGGGGGCGGGGGACGCGGGCTGAGGTGGCTCAGGTCTGAAAGCCCAGGCTCAGGAGCTGAGATGGGGCAATCTCTGCCCCGAATGTGAGTCCAGCCTGGGCTACAGAATAAGATCTTTTACCAAATGTGAGTCCAGCCTGGGCTACAGAATAAGACCTTTTATCAAAAACCCCAACCCCGGGCTGGAGAGATGGCTCAGAGGTTAAGAGCACTGGTTGCTCTTCCAGAGGTCCTGAGTTCAATTCCCAAAACTGCATGGTGGCTCACAACCAACCATATGTAATGAGATTTGGTGCCCTCTTCTGGCGTGTGGGCACACATGCAGACAGACTACTGTATACAAAATAAGTAAATCTAAAAAACAAAAAATAAAACACCCAAACCAAAAGTAGTGATCTTTAGGTCAGGCACTGGAGTAGCTGAAAGATGATCCAAGGACCCTGCCCAGTTCCTCCCAGCAAGTGCCAGCAAGTGGATAGGAAACACGGCTGCTACTGTCTGCTGAGACCTGTGGTCCTGGAAAGAGGACCTCATTCATAAAACGGTGTGGGTGTGGAAAAGCCTAGCTAGTGTGAATGTCCTCATGGCCTCTCTGTGCCGCCGTGGCTGAGTGGCCACCCCTCTCTGGGCCTGTAGTCTCAGCTGGACGCCTGGGAACAGTACAAGGCTGTGTGGCCCAGAGGCACAGCAGGTGCTTCTCTGCTGAGCGCACAAAGGAGCAGGTGACTGGCAATCACTGCGTACCTATGCCAAGGGGCCAAGAACACTCCCCTGCTCTTTCTTTGTACCTGATGTTGAGGACATACTGATCTCCTGCTGTGTTCCAGGTGTCTTCTCCCCACTCTGCCACTGGTTTTTTAAGACAGAGTTTCTCTATGTAGCCTTGGCTGTCCTGAACTCACTCTGGCTGGCCTCAGACTCAGAGATCTTCCTGCCTCTGCCCCCTGAGTGCTGGTATTAAAGGCCACCACTCCTGGGCTTGTTCCAGGCACTTTCTGGATGGTTCCTGAGCTATCCTTACTGAGCTCTGCAACATAGGCAGAGCCAACTCCATTTAACAGGTAAGAACGGAGACCCTACAAGGGTTATGTGGCTCAGTCAGGGCTTGTTTGCAGGTGAGCGGTGAGCGCTCTCAGGCTCAGACCACACTCTGCACCCCTTCTATGCCTGGTCCCCAGCTTCGGGATTCTACACTCTACACAAGGCCCCCATAGCACCACTTCCTCTGGGGTCCCCTTGGCAAGGCCATGAATGCCAGGGCCACTCCTGGGAGCCTTGAGGAACAAGGAGAAAGGGATATGACAGTGGGGCACACTATCTCGGAGTCTTGTCCAACTTCTTTTCTGTTGTGATCGAGGAGCTTCGAGGAGCAAAGGCTTTCGTCAGGTTTATAAGTCCAGACCCAGCCCATCACAGAGTGAAGTCAAGGCAATCAAGATGGAACCTGAAGGCAGGCTTTCTCTCTGCTTCCCATGATACCACCCCTGACCAAGGCGCTCACATCTCAGCCAAAGCGGCACAGCAGGACGGTGGAGGCTGCGGCTTCCTGTATCAAGCTTCCTTTGCCTACGACCACCTGCCCAGGGAATGGGCCCTCTCACGATGGGCGGGCCGGCCTAGACCAGTCCCCCACAGACATGATCTGATCTAGGTGTTTCTTCACTTGAGGCTGTCCTCTCAGGGCTGACAGTGGTTCAGTTGTGTCCCAGGCATCTGCACAGGGACTGCCACCTCAGGTACCTTGTCCTAGAAATTTGGGGTTCCTGTGGGCCTCATCTGAGGCTGTTCCTAAATTGAGACAAATTTAATCCCTGAACTCAGGGAAGCCCTAGCAGCCCTCTGGCTAGGAAGGAGGTGCTGAGAATTCAACACCCCTCCTGCTTACTAGGATCTTTCCCAGACGAGCCCCTCATTTGCTGTGTGGCCTCAGACCAGTGGCTGACCCTCTCTGGGCCTTATTTCTGGCCGAGAGCTACAGACTCAGCCCCAGCTCAGTCTTACATGACACCCGCTCTGCCTGTGCGTCTGTCTGGCTCAGTTCCAGACAGTGCACAGCAGGGCTGTCACATGCTGATCCACGTGACAAGCGGCGGCTGGGGGCTCCATCCCACGCAGAAGACAGGGCCCTCAGTGCCCCTCGGCCCTACACCTATCCCAACTTAGCTGAATCCTGCAGGGTTGGCAGCAGGGCGTGGGCCTGTGGGCCTCCCTTGCCCTCCCAGGTAGGTTGGGGAGCTAGGTGAGGCGGTGAGGAGCATCTCCTAGGTGCAAGGTCGGCACAGAGGCCCTGGCCAGCAGCCTCCAGGCTGGCCCGGGGCACCTGCAGGGAAAGATTGCTTGGTGGCCTGGGCAGAGGTACAAAGGTGTCTTTTTCTCACGTACGTACATGTAACCCAGCCGCCAGCCTGTCTGCCCCAGCAGCTGCTCAGGATCATCCCCTCTTTGTGCAGGCTCCCACAGGTGTCCCTGGGGTGGAGCCAGGCACAGCTCCGCACCTGCAGAGGAGCAGGACCCCAGGGGCCACCTCAGCAGTACACAGTATCCTGACGGCTGTCCTGAGGGTGGCAGGCAGAGGGGATGTCTTTGGGGAGAGACGCGTCGCCGGTTTTACAGTTGAAGCCCTGCCATGCATATCCTACGTGGCCACAGCTCGTCCCCTCCAGGGCCCCATTTTCTTATTGTAAAATGTGAGGTTTGAGGGTGAACGCCTTTGTGAGCAGGCTGCAGTTGGAGGTAGACGGAGGGTCACAGGTAGGCAGAAGCCTGGGGCACCGCTGGCAGAGAGAGGGCCTAGTCTTGAGACTGTCTCTGCACTCCGGGAAACTGAGACTCAGAGTAGACAAGGCTGGGAGGCAGTGTTCAGCCTTTCTTGATATTCCAGGCTGGGACGTCAAGGGCCGCACCTTCACACTGAAATTCCCAGGCTCTCCTCCTAGTGGTGAGAACATGCTCACCTCTGCCTTCCCTCCCATCCCTCAGCCTCTCCTCTGTTCCCCTCATTGTTCAGAACAGCATGTGACCCTGAATTAAAGCCACCCTTCTCTGGGCCCTGCCTTCTTTTCTGTGGTCTGAGAGAGTCTCCGGGCCTCTATGAGACAGATATTGTGGTAAAATCCCAGCTAGCAGCTTCCACCAGGCCTGGAGCCAAGGTCAGGCACTGGGCCAGGGCGGCCCCGCCCCAGGGGCAGGCATTGTTGAACCTTGCTTAAAGGCAAGGCTCAGGCCGGGCTGGACAGCCAGGAAGGCAGAAGGGGCAGCTTGGTGAGGCCTCAGGTACTGTACCCCAGGGAGAAGGGAGTGGAGCTGTTACTGATCTGTCCTGGCTGGGATCTAGCCCAGCTACTCTGGGGTGCTGGGATCCCTATCTTGTCTGGAAACTGGCTGTTTCACACACAGGCAGCCTGTGTCTTTCAGGCCTCATCTGCTTGCTGCCTGGAGAGAAAAGGGAAGGAAGAGACTGAGGGGGAGGGCTGAGGAGCTCAGAGTGCAGGGCCCAGCTGGCCTCCTGGGTCTGCACTGTGCTCCCCTGCCCTTCTCCTCCTGGGGGACTCATTCTGGGAGGGGGAGGAGGGACATGGCTGCCACAGGAGAGAACATGGCCTCCCACCCCTGAAGGCCCATTCGGGCACCGTTTCCAGGGCCCTAGCTACCACGCAAGCCTGGTAGTTGGGGACGCTCCAAGGACCTTAGGAAAGACCCCTCAGCAATAAACTCAGCAGAGCCCAGTGAAAGAGAGGCAGGAGCCGCTGTGCCTGGGGAGGGACCTTGTGGTTCCAGGGACTTCGTCTTCCCGTAGCTTATCTATGAGAGGGCAGGGTTAGTCTCCAGGCCCAGGAACATCTTGGTCCCAGCTCCCCAGGGATCTTGCATAGGAGACACTGCAGCCCAAAGCTCTGGATGATCTTCTGGAGCTCAGGGGCAAAGCCACACATAGACCACAGAGGCCACACATAGGAGATTAGAGCCAAGGCCCCTTCAGTTTCAGGGCCTGGGGGGGAGGGGTCTTTCAGCCTGACCTAGTGCCCCCACTTTGGCAGTACTGATGAAGGTCTCCGAGCCCTGAGGCCACACCTTCCTTCACTGCCATGAAGATCCCCTGCCTCCCGAATCCCACACTGGATTAAGGTTTCCTTGGGTCCTTATCCTGGAGTCCTACTGTCTCAGCCCCCTGGTGCTATCTGTCACCCATGGCAGCCATCATGGCTAAGAGCTTCTGGGGGCTGTGCCCGGACCAAGCCTTTCTAAACCTCTGCCTCTGAGTTTCCCCAACAGCGAGCTTACAGGTGGCACCAAGAACTGACCCATTTTGCTAAAGTAAAGAGTGAGCCAAAGCGCCCAACAGACTGCCTGAGGGCCACTAGCCAGTCAAGCTGCTGGAATTTGTGCCTAGACCATGGAGGCTTGTGGTGTAGTTGGGAAAACTGAGGCAGGAAGCATGCGGGACTGGACTGAGTTTTCCAGCACTGGAGCCCAGTGGGGTAGGCGAGAACAGGGACCATCAGCTGAGCCCTTGCCTGGTGGCTCGTCCCCTGGGTGAAGGAGTGCAGGCCCGCATTCTCAGTCCTTTTCCATTTTCTCTAGTTTCCAGACCCGCCTGGGGCTCACCCTGCAGCCCCAGCCACAGCAAGTGCCCATGCTGGCCCCGCCTACCATAGCCAAATAAGTTTGTTTGTGCTTGTGTAGGCAGAAACTCACGTAGCCCAGGCTGGTCTCAAGCTCACTACGTAGCCAAGGATGACCCTGAACTCTGACCTTTCTGCCTACACTTCGCAAGGGATCAGATTCAGTCCTTCCTGCACGCTAGACAAATAGCCCACTAACAGAACGACATCTCCAGGCCCTGTTCAGCAATTATTTATTTATTTTTGTTTTTGAGACAGGGTTTCACTGTGTAGTAGCCTTAGCTGTCCTGGAATTCTCTCCACAGACCAGGCTGGCCTCAAACACACAGAGATCCACCTGCCTTTGACTCCTGAGTGCTGGGATTAAAGGCGTACGCCACCACCGCGAGGCATTTCTGTACGATTTTTAAAGCATTTATGATGTGGGGGGGGGGTGCATCCCGTGGCATGCATGTGGAGGTCAGAGGACAACTTTATGAAGCTGGTTCTCTCCTTCCACCTTCGTGTGGGTTCTACAGAGAAAACTCAGGCCGTCCAGCTAGCATAGCAAGTTCCCTTACCCATATTTTTTTTTGACACAGTTTCATAATGAAACCTTGGTTTATATGGAATTTGCTAGAAATCATAGTGATCATCTTGCTTCTGCCTTTCTATTGCTGGGATGGAGGCATGGTTTATCATATTGGGCTGATTATTGCTTTTAGAGGGATCCCTAGGCTCATGGTCCTACTCAAGCCCTAGGAAAACACAGACACAGAAACTCCCACACCATCCTCAGGGAGACCCCCGGGCTCACCAGCCCTGGATCTAAGCAGCTGAGCTCTGGGCTTGGACAGGACAACATAGTGGGGATTGCTAGGAATGACGGGACTGAGGGAAAGAGACACCAGCGGATTGGCTTTTCACGTTCACGGGGCTCTTCTCTTTCTGCTCCTGAACCCACAGCTCACAAGTGTTGCCTCCTCCCAAGGACTGTCTGTTCCTCTCTGCACTCCAGGCTGCCCTGTTCTCATCCTCCAGGAATGGGGTGACTGAAGCAGTCAGCTTTCTGTACCTCTGGGCCGAGGTTTTCCAATGTCAAGGAGCTGGGCATCCTCGGGCTAGCTCCTTGTCCTCTCTGTGCTCTGGTCTTCGTTTCCTTCAGTGAGGTGAAGAACGGTCCCCTTGTTGTGTGTTTAAAGGAGTTAGGGTGGACATCCTTATGGTCTTACCCAGGATGGGATGTACCCAGGGAGGGAGGATGGGGTGCAGTCCAGTGGAGCTAGACAGGAATCCCCCAGTGTCTGTCCACTGGGACTTCCCACTTGCCTTGTGATGTCTTAGTCTAAGACCACCTGATCCCAGGTGGCAGATAGCCTTGGCTCCTCTGCTCCATCAGGTCCAGCCTGGCTTTCTAGCTTTTTTGGTGGGCACACTGTCAGGTTTTGGTCCACAGTGACCAACCTTGAGAAGGCATTGTGGGCCCGGTGGGCAGCCCTGCAGGAGAGGTGTGTATCCTGCTGCCATGGTGAGTTAGCATCAGTGTTGCCAGGAGCACTTCTGGAATGTTCCGTATAGAGCCCACCCACAGAGCTCCCCTGCCCACAAGCCAGTGTTTGGTAGGCATGCTTGACATTTTTGTGGGCGCTGAAGAGCCTCCAGTGAGCAGGGGGAGGAAGCGACTGTTGGTGGCGTGCTTTCTTTTTCTTTACTCAGGGCTATGTGCGTTCACGTGTGTGAGTTCACTGTGGGGGGGGGATGCACATGTGTTTGTATGTATGCGTAAGGAGGCCTGAGGTTCCCCATAGCTCCCCACTTTCATTCTCTTTGAGGTGGGGTCTCTCAGTCAAACCCAGAGCTTGCCAATCTGAGGCATCTCATCAGCCAGCTTGTCCTGTCTGCTTTCTGAGGGAGGTTGGGGCCGTGGGGAGCTCACGTGCATGCGCACTTGCCTTTACCTGGGCCTGGGAATCTGAACTCTGGTCCTCTTGCTTGCACAGCAAGAGCTTTGACCACAGAATGTCCTCCCTCCTCTGCTGGTGACTCACAGGCTGCTGGCCTTCCTCTGCCTTCTGGGAACAACAGCAGCTGCCTTGTACTCAGATCTTCCAGAAAACCAGGCTTTCATCTTCTGTAACAGCAAGGAAACTGAGGCAGGACAGAAGAGGCTTTGCCCCAGGTCTCTTGATAGTAGGAGAGCCCCGGGACACTCTGATGACACTCCGGGGAATGGGAATGGAGGATGGTGCCGTCTCTGTTGGAGCAGGAGGCCTGAACGGTCCACGCTGGACCCTCGGCACAGCCGCTGAGGTGGCTCATCGCCCCAGATCACTGCTCCCACAAAGGCCCCCGGACAACAGCTGCCTGACAGGAGCAAAGCACTGGGCCCACCTGGGCCCAGCAGCAGACCTCAAGGTTTCATCTTCACAAAACCTGGCAGCTAAGACAGACACGATGCTGTGTGCTTTTATGATCGCAGCACTTAAGAGACACAAACAGGAGGATCTGAAGTTCAAGGCTATCATAGCTCTAGAGTGTGTTTCAGGGCAATCTGTCTCACACTGAGGAGCCAAGAAAACAAACAAACAAACAAAACACCTGGGGCTGGAGAGATGACTCAGCAGATGAAGTTTTTGCCCCTACAGATGCCCAGAGCCCACACAAGCACTGGTGGTGTGACAGCTGCCGGAACTCCGTAGCCCAGAGGCGGAGAGAATAGATCCCCAGAGCAGACTGTCTGGCTACTCTAGTTCCCCTTCAAAGCTTTGTGTATTATTATGTGTCTGTGGGAGTGAGTGCAGGTACTTGCAGAGACCAAAGGTGCCAGATCCCCTGGGGTTAAAGTCGCAGGTGGCGTGGGCCACCTTATGTGGGTGCTGGGATTTGAATTCAGGTCCTCTAGAAGAGCAGCATGTCTGTCCTTAACTGCTGAGTTCACAACTTCAGCCCTAGATTGGTCTTATCTGTGATATCGGGGTTCAGATGAGAGACTCTGACTTAATAATAAGGTGGAGAATGTTTGAGGACCCAGCATTAGCCTTGGGCCTGTATGGACTTGGGAACACACATACATACACGCATGTACATCACATACAAAGGCACATGCCAAAAAAAATTTTTTTTTAAAGCACAAACACAGAGAGGCCACTGTAAGAGTGATGAAGAACACTGGAGTGGGTTTCAGTTACACTGAGACCTGAAGTCACAGGGAAAGAGGAAAGGGTCCCCAATCGGTCCTTGGTACCAGGCCAAGCAGCAAATGCGTCACAGGGCTCCTCTGATGAGCCTCGTGTAAACAGGCATGAGCCCAGGGGAATATCAGGCCCCTTTCCTGTCTGCCAGTTCCAGCTGGTGACGGCCCATCAGCCCACCTGGCACTCCTCCCTACCCGTCCCCTTCTCTTGTGGTCCAGTTGGCATCATGGCTGAGGTGGGCAGGAGGGTCTCTGGGAAGCCCAAGCTACTTTTCCCTTTGTGCCAAGGGGGCTGAGAGTGTGCCCAAGGTCACCCCAGGTCTCTGAGCTGCCACCAGCCAGCCTGGCTCCTCTTGTGCAGAGCTCCTGAGCTGGGTGACTGCAGTGGTGTCCCTCACTGTCTCCCATTCCTGTCCACTCTACGCAGGCCAGGCGGGGGCGGGGGGGAGTGTAGCCCCTGGGAGGGCACTAGAGCAGGGGCCTTGTGTCAGCGCTAACTTCAATGAAATCCATTGAACTCCCCTGCCCAGCCTTACTGATACCCTGTCCTGCAGCCTCCTAGAGTCCACCCGGCAGAGGGAGGCATGCCTCTGTCTCAAAGGCCACTCTTGTCACCAGTAGAGTTGTCCCAGGGAGGCCCTGGGGAGAACTGTGAGGCACTGGTGCTGGACAGGGGCTGGGGAAGATCACCAAGGTGGGGGTGGTCCAAGCCATGCGATTCACACTGCGCTGTCCTGCAGGATGGATTCGTTTGAGGACACACTGCGGCAGCTGCGGGAGGCCTTCAACAGCGGGCGGACACGGCCGGCAGAGTTCCGGGCTGCACAGCTGCAAGGCCTGGGCCGCTTCCTTCGAGACAACAAACAGCAGCTGCAGGAGGCACTGGCCCAGGACCTAGGCAAGGTAGCATGGAGGAGGGACAGTGGGGTAGGGGTGTGCATGACCCCGGGGTCAGAAAGGGTGGTACAGCCGGGATAAGGGATACAGCTCAGCCACATCCTCCATGAAGAGGAGCTGAAAACCCGTGGAACCCCAGCTCCTGTCGTGAACCACAGCTGACTGAAGGCCCCTGTCCATCTGTCCCCTATCTACTCTGCAGCTATTTATGGGAAACTTGGTATGTGCTTGGTACTGGTGCCAAGACAGGTTCTATGAACACAGAGAGCAAAAAGCCTGTGTCTCCAGAGCTGACCTCTGCCGGGGAAGGGGTGGAGACAATATGGCATGTGATCTGGTAACGTGTGAGGTGCAGACATCACAGTGTTAAGTCAGGGGTTAGACGGTGGTGCTGGTTTATATGTGGGGGGGTCAATGCAGGTTTTTCTGAGAAGGAGGGGCCTTGGAACAGAGATAGGAAGCAGGGAGAAAGAGCTGGACGGACATCAGAGGAAGAGGCCCAGCAGCATAGGCAAAGGTCCTGCCTGAGGCAGAAGAGCTTGATGTGTCTGTAACTGAGGAACTGCAGAGACCAGAGGGCTGGAGAGTGAGAGACAGAGAGATGTGGGCGAGAAGGCCTGAGGAAGTGGACCACGCCCTGAAGGACTTGGGTCTCACTTGGCACTGTGGACCTCACAGCCTCTGTACCCTGGAGGTTCTGGGGTGTCCTCCCAAATCCAGCAGCAGCCATGCTGGGTCTCCCAGTCCTGAGATGGCTGCCCAACAGATCTGTCCCAGTGAGTTCCTCTCCTCTTTATCCCTGCTGTTACCCTAGTGGCTCTTCCAGTCTGATGGGCTCGGGGACTGACTCTCACCAGCCCCGCCCAGCACTCCCGAGACCTGACCTTTCCCCCTTCAGCTCAGGTTCCACCTCTGCTGTGGTATTCGATTCCATAAATCTGGACCTTACAAAGGAGGCAGTAGCCCAGAAAATTCAACCTGGTGCCTCCCTCTGATCCAGTCAGACTACTCACTGTCTCAATCCTTGGCCCGTGGTGCCTGCCCAGTGGTCAGACTCTTATCAGAGGACAAACACTCCTCCTGCTGGACAGTCACACCCACCTATCCCCAGAGGAGGGTGCAGAGAAGGCAGTTTCTTGCCCAGAGACACACAGTCAGGAAAAGCAGGGCCTGAGGAAGAAGCTCTCCTGAGGTCACTGTGCCCACTGTGTGCATACTGATTTCTAACGACCCCACCCCACAAACCTCGATAGGGACCTCAGGAGATGCCAGGCTTGCTGTGAGTGGTGTGTGGCTGAACGTCGCCTGAACCAGGCTCAGCTATTGGAAGTACAGTGTCCTCTGCAGGCCTCCGTCTTCTGTTGCTCTCCAAGAGAACTTGTATTTCAATGGCCACAATTCATCCTGGCTCTGGCATCCCTGACCCTGAAGCCTGGGTCCCTCCTAGAGTCTGGGGCAGAGTGCAGAGCATGGTCGTGGCTTTTCTGAGATGGGATCTCAACCTTATTACAAAGCCGAGAATGACCTTGAACTCTTGACCCTCCTGCTTCTGCCTCCTCAGGGCTAGGTGTTTGCCATCGTGCCCAGTCTACACGTTGCTGGGGATGGAACCCAGAGTTTTGTGCTTGTTAGGCAAGCTCTCTACTGCCGAGTCCCATCCCCAGCCCATTTTTGTCTTCTTACTTCTCCCCTGGGCACTAGGTACTGTCCCCCTGGGCTGTGGGAAAAAGACCATTGACCGAGGAGAATCATGCCTTGTGCCCCTCTCTCTAAGTAGAAGCAGAGCAAGCCCCAGCTGCCAGCACAGGGCCTTTGCACCTGCTAGGCTCTCTTCCCACTATATTCTGCCTCCAGGTGCCCATGGCTCCCTGGAACGCGTGAATGAGTGAGTGAATAAATGAAGGACAAAGAGATGTAGCACCTTTGGGAAGAAAGCTGTACCTCCCCACTCTCCAGCTCTTTGCTGCTTTAGGACAGCCCTGTCCCTCACTCTCTTCTGTAGTCAACTTTTGAGTCAGAAGTATCTGAGATCGCCATCAGCCAGGCTGAGGTGGACCTGGCCCTCCGGAACCTGAGGTCTTGGATGAAGGATGAGAAAGTGTCCAAGAATCTGGTAAGCTGGGGGACGGGGACAGGATGGCAGTTGGGCTTTGGGAACTGTTTGCTCCCACAGTGTGGTTCTACAGAGCCTCACTGCTCTCCCTGGCCCAGGCCACACAGCTGGACTCAGCCTTCATCCGGAAGGAGCCCTTTGGCGTGGTGCTTATCATTGCACCCTGGAATTACCCCTTGAACCTGACTCTTGTGCCGCTGGTGGGGGCCATTGCTGCAGGTGAGACCCCCACCTTCCCACAGCCCTAGTCACTGGAGAACACAGGGCTACCTAGGAAACCAGAGGAGGAAGGCAGGGGAGCTGGCACCCTGCTCCCAGGCAGCCCCTGGCCAGGGTCTGTCTGTCACTTCTGATTCTTTGACTGAGAGCTAGTGTGGCCAGCACACCCCCTGCATGGCTGCCCTCTCCGAGTCTTCCCTCTGTGCTGACTGCAGGAAACTGTGTGGTTCTCAAGCCCTCGGAGACCAGCAAGGCCATTGAGAAGATCCTGGCTGAGGTCCTGCCCCGCTACCTGGACCAGGTAACCAAGGATGGTGGAGGCCTAGGACTGGGCAGTTCCCGGTGGGGGTAAGGCAGGGGACACATCCCAACCTCAGGAGGGCCTTCAGTGTGGGGGAGTGAGCTTGAGGGGGGGGTGTGCTTGCTCATGTGTATGTGTGCGCATGTATGTTTATGGTGGTGTACAAAAGAGTTCCACATTAGCCCGGAATGGAGTATAACAAAGGTTTATTTATTTGGGGATAAACTCACAGAAAGGGTAGCGATATGCAGTCCTCCGCTGGGAACTGGAACGGAAACCAGCAGCAAAGAGGCCCCACGCATGTCTGTATTTATATTACATGAGACAGTGACCAAAGTGGGCCAGTATAGTAAAGGCTATTGGGGCCCTATTCCCACAGCACCTCCTCCTTTTGTCTAAATAAGAGTGTTCTAAGTAATACAAAACTATATACAATAAGAACAGATATCAAGTATTGTCCAGAGAAAAGAAGAGACAAAAATATACGTAAAAATTATAATTATTAGACAACAATGAGGACACTAAGAGAAACTTACATAGAGCTAATCTACATGGGAAGTAGAAAGTAGAGAAAGACAAGATCTCCTGAGTAAATTGGGAGCATGGGGACCTTGGGGGAGGGTTGAAGATGGGAGGGGAGAGGCAGGGAGGGGAGCAGAGAAAAATGTAGAACTCATAAATATCAAAAAAAATTAGAGGGGGCTGGAGAGATGGCTCAGTGGTTAAGAGCATTGCCTGCTCTTCCAAAGATTCTGAGTTCAATTCCCGGCAACCACATGGTGGCTCACAACCATCTGTAATGAGGCCTGGTGCCCTCTTCTGGCCTGCAGACATACACACAGACAGAATATTGTATACATAATGAATAAATAAATAAATATTTAAAAAAATTAGAATTACAGTCAGCATGAACAACATCAAACAATAAACATATGCTAAATGTTTCAATAGTTATCATATCCTAAGGGCTCTAAGTCTTATATTAAAAATGTCTTAGCTAAGTCATGAGAGGAAAGTAACTGACTATCTAGTCTTCAACCACATCAAAGACCTGAGAAGGGAAATAATATTACTTGAGTAAACAAGAAGTGCAATCAAGTGACTTCCAAAAGATGCAAGAAATAAGAGACCACCGCTAGTTCCCAGAGCATGCTTCTGTGTAAGAGACCACCGCTAGTTCCCACAGCATGCCTCTGTGTAAGAGGAGGCCAGGCTCAACCTCTGGTGTTTCTTTAAATGTTCACCCCGCGTTTTGACACAAGGGCTCTCACTGGTTCCTGGAATGGAGAATTTGGCTAGACTAGTTGGCCAGTGAGTCTCTGGGATCTGTCTTTCTACACTGCTCCGTGCTGGAATTACATGCCTGCCATCACACCTGGCTTTCCAGTGGGTGCTCAGGATCGAACTCCGGTCCTCATGGCCTGCTGAGTAGCTTCTCCAGTCTTTGTCTCTTCTATTTTTTTTGGGGGGGTGGACAGGGCCTCACTCTGTAGCCAAGACTAGCCTCAAACTCATAGTGCTCCTCCTACCTCAGCTTCCTGAGAGCTGAGCTACATGAATGAGTCTCTGTCCTTGGCTAGGGGACCTCTTCTGAGTTGCACGGCCTTGGCTACATTACTGTGCCCCACTTCAGTTTCCCTTCTAGGATTTAGCCAGGGCAGTCTGTCCCCTGGGGTCCTATAGCAGGCCCTAGCTTCATTCTTGCTCAGCCCCCCCAGAAGTTCTCAGAAAGGGTTGTCCAAGTCTGGATGAAGCAAAGTGGGCGGGCTCCAGGCAGGTTGGACCACCCCTGAACTCAGAAGCTGGGTCTGAGGACTTCTGTCTGCCCCGCCCCCCACAGAGCTGCTTTGCCGTGGTGCTGGGTGGGCCTCAGGAGACAGGGCAGCTGCTGGAACACAGGTTCGACTATATCTTCTTCACAGGTAAGGTTCGGGGGTGGCTCCAGCCTCCAGACCCTTAGGGAAGACAGATGCTCATGTCTACAACCACCAACCAACCTCAACCTTGAGCCAAAAGTTTGCCCAGGCCAAGCTCCTACTGAGCCAGACCCTAACAGCAGACCCCACGACCTCCCTTTAGCCCTGACAACAGGTGAGAGGCTGCTTTGGGGTGCTGAAGGGCAGCAGTGTCCAACCTAGGGTTGCCCTGCTGGCCAGGATAGGATCTGCACCCAAGCTCTTAGTGCTGCTAGCTCTCAGAGGTCACCTGCCATTATACTAGCAAGCCCCCAGTCCCAGACAGCTTGCTTCAAGGGACCATGATGTAGTAGTTTCTGAAAGATAGAAAAGGAAGAGGAGGTAGTGGGCATGCTTCCAGGGCCTGAGCAAAAGCTGGCTGGCTTCTGACATGCAGGTGGTTAGAGCAAGTGAGAGGTGGGCTTTGAACTTCCCTCTAGACCCTGCCTCAAGCCTAGGAAAGGCCCTGCTGGGGACAGGGAAAACTGCCGAAGCAAAGGTGGATTGGTCTTCCTTGTGGGGGAAAGACCATTGGTAACAGTCTCAGTAGGCAGGGTAGGAGGCAGGGACCCTCAAAGTCACCCCTACACCCTCAGTCATGGTGGCCCTTAGGTGAGGTTTTTACGGCCAGGTGCAGAGGCAAGGCAAAGCCCAAGGCCAGTTTTCAAGGCAGGTCCCAACAGACCTGGCTGAGATCTCGCTGCAAGGCCCATGACTGATCCAGTCTGTTCTCATCTGTACAGCTGAGGCAATCCAAAACACAGTCTGCATTGAAGACAGAGTCTTTCCATGACTAGCCTACAGTCCTTAGGAAGAACATCAGCCCCCTCCTCCCAAAACCAGTGTGTCTCTGTTGAGTACACAAGACTGTATGTCAGAGGCTGTATGTTCTGTATTCTTTTTGTTTTTGGGGACAGGGTTTCTCTGTGTAGCCCTGACAGTCCTGGAACTTGCTCTGTAGACCAGGCTTGCCCCGGACTCACAGAGATCTGCCTGCCTCTGCCTCCTGAGTGCTAGGATTCTGGAGTCTTTTATCAGTGTGTAAGGTGCTGGGAATGAAACCCCAAACTTCATTCGTGACAGGAAAATGCTCTACCACTGAGTCATACTCTCAGCCCTTGGGCTGTCGCTCTTATTTGGGTTTGGCTTGTTTTTCCAGACAAGGTCTCATGTAACCTAGGCTGGCCTCAGACTCACTATGTAGCTGAGGGTGGCCTGGAATTCCTGACACTTTTGCCTCTACCTCCCAAGTGCAGGAATTACAGGACTGTACCATCAGAGCCACTGTTTGAAACAGGATCTCAGTGTAGCCCAGGCTGGCACTGAACCTGAGGTACTCTTCTAGCTCAGCTTTCTGAGCACCGGGATCACAGGCAAGCGTCCCCGTAGCCAGGTGCCACTGCAGTGTTTGAACTAAGGAGAGCAGAGAGCAAACAAGGACTGGGAGAATTACGGTGCTGCAGTCAAGGGCCAGGACAGCCTGGAGGAGGAGCAGATGGGGGCAGGACTTGGGGAGGAGCCTGCAGACCAGGAACTCTGGGAAGAAGAGAGACAGAGAGGAGGAACTGAGCATCAGTTGGGCTGAACTGGGCTGTGGCCTTAGAGGACAAGGCAGAGGATATCAGAGGTTTCAGGAGATGGAGAGATGCCTTGTGCTATGACAGGCTGGAGAAAAAGCTGCAAGGTGGACCAGGGACAGAAGCAGACACAGGTAGGAGCTGAAGGCTCCACCCGGGAGAGGCTCATGGAGTCCCATTCACTGTTGGGAGTGCAGGATGAATTCTTCCTTTGGAGCCCCCGTGCAGGGTCCAGGTGAGGCCACCCACTTAGCCAATTGACTAGTGAGCCACTCTAGGCCCTTTCCATGTACCCAGGGAACCCTTATGTAGGCAAGATCGTGATGGCTGCTGCCGCCAAACACCTGACGCCCATCACCCTGGAGCTGGGGGGTAAGAACCCCTGCTATGTGGACGATGACTGCGACCCCCAGACTGTGGCCAACCGCGTGGCCTGGTTTCGCTACTTCAATGCTGGCCAGACCTGTGTGGCCCCTGATTACATCCTGTGTAGCCAGGAGATGCAGGAGCGGCTGGTACCTGCCCTGCAGAATGCCATCACACGTTTCTATGGAGACGACCCACAGACCTCCCCCAGCCTGGGCAGAATCATCAACCAGAAACATTTCAAGCGGCTCCAGGGCTTGCTGGGCTGTGGCCGTGTGGTCATTGGTGGCCAGAGCGATGAGAGCAATCTCTATATTGGTGAGTCCCTCTCTTCCCAACCTGGGCCAAGACCTTTCCACGCTGGACTACAGGTCTCAGCCTGTGTCTGAATCCTCTGCCCCACCTCTCGAGCCTGGCCTGAGTACCCAGTCCTGGGTGCCCAGTTCACAACACCCCATCACTGTGACTTGGAGCCTGTGACTCCCAAACTCTGGATCCACTGGGCTATGACCCCACTCGAGAGGTTCAGAGTATGGCTTAAGCTTCTGTTCTAGATTGTGTTGTTCTGTGAGACTCGAGACCGCAAGTGTGAGGTCCTAGGGAGTTAGACCCTGGGTCTGCCCTGTGTGGAGAACAGGCTTTGCCTTCATTGGAACCCCTCTCGCTGGATACGTCTTGCCCATGGGTGAGGCTGAGTTGCCCTTGCATTGCAGCACCCACAGTGTTAGTGGACGTGCAGGAGACGGAGCCTGTGATGCAGGAGGAGATCTTTGGGCCCATACTGCCTGTGGTGACTGTGAAGAACCTGGATGAGGCCATTGACTTCATCAACCGCCGGGAGAAGCCACTCGCGCTGTACGCCTTCTCTCAGAGAAGCCAGGTGGGATGAAGTACCAGTAGTGAGCTCTGTGTGTGTGTGTGTGGGGGCAACAGAGGGAACACGCCCCTCTGGGTAGTTACAGGACTTCAGGCATGGTGGCCTCTTGGCTTTGCCCCTGCCCTCCTTCCTGGAAGTCAAACCCTACCCGGGTCAAACTCTCCTGGATGACATCACAGACAATTTTTTGAGATAGGGCCTCATGAAGCCCAGGCTAGCTTTAAACTGTGTAGTCCTGGATTGAACCTGATCCTTCTGACTCCACCCCTGAGTGTGAGGACCATAAATGCGTGCACTGACACCTGGTTATATTTGATCCTGGGAAAACAAATCTAATGCTTCCTGCACATGAGACAAAACTTACCAAATTAGGCTGGAGAGATGGCTCAGTAGTTAAGAGCACTTCGTGCTCTTGCAGAGGACCCAGATTTGGCTCCCAGCACCACCTGCTGGTTTGCAATGACCCATAACTCCAATTCCAGATCCCAGGGATCTGATGCCCTCTTATTTCCTCTATCACCAAGCACATGCGTGGTACATGTTTGCATGCAGGCAAAACATACACATAAAATAAACAAATCTCTAAAGATTAAAACAAACAAACAACAAACTGACCAATTAAGGGGACCGGTGATATAGCTCAGTCAGTAAAGACGTCCAATCTCCAAGAATCTTGTGGTAGAAGAACAGACTCCCATATGGTTTTCTCCCACAAAATCGTTACGAGCTGAGACTAGTACACATAAACACACTATAAATAAAATTTAATAAATTAAAAACAAAAACCTGGGCTGGAGAGATGGCTCAGCAGTTAGAGCATTGCCTGCTCTTCCAAAGGTCCTGAGTTCAATTCCCAGCAACCACATGATGGCTCCCAACCATCAGTAATGAGGTCGGGCTGAGGCAATGCTGCACCCTGTGGGATCCACTTCACCAGACAAAGCCCACCTCAGAGCTGGCATCACTGAATAACACAAAATTAAGTAGGACAAACCTGTCTCCTTTCCCTCGAGCCTTCTCAGACCTGCAGACTGCAGGAAAACCCTTCAAGGAAGTCAGGCAAGGCCAATCTCAGGCTGCTGAGTCCAAACCTGGCCTTAGCGGCCCAAACTCGTCCCACAAAGTCCCTCCCTTCTCTCTCATGAAAACTGTCACCACAAGATCAGCAGCTACCTCTTGTGCCCACTCTACCTTTCCCAGATGATGCCAGGTCTTATGACTTCTCCTTTGTGCCAGGGTTGCACAAAGGTGGACACACAGAGAACGTGTCCCCAGGGTGGAGTCTGTGGGTATGTTCCATTAGACCCACCTTGGACCTCAGTCCCTATTGAAACAAGGTACAGCCAGATGTGCTAAGCAAGTTCCTCTTTCTCTCCCAGGTGATCAAACAAGTCCTGGACCGGACCAGCAGCGGGGGCTTCTGCGGGAACGATGGCTTCATGCACTTGACCCTGTCCAGCCTTCCTTTTGGAGGAGTGGGTAGGTGGCAGCAGCCCTCTGCCCTCCTGGGCTGATCCACGGTCGCATCCTCACTCTGCCGCTCAAGCACCCTAACTACAGGACGTGCGGCTCGCCCTCAGGGGAGCGGACACGAGAGGAAGCCCCCTCCATAGACCGTGTCCACCTAGCCTGCCTCCCACCTCCCTGTTACAGTCTGTGGTGGAACCTTCAGATTTTGGCTTTTTCATAGCCACCCATCCACAACTCAGTCCTGGTGCGTTCACCTCCATGGTAGGGTCAGATGATGCTCCCTCAGCCTTCACAGTTCCTGCGACCCCAGCTCTGGGCCTCTCTGCTTCCCGGAGGCCTGGGATGTGGAGATGTCTGCCCCCCTACGCACACAACTGTAAACTTCACAGCTGTATCCCAGCAGCCCCATAAGCATGTGGCCCTGGCAGTCACTTCTTCTTTGGGTCTACTTTCTCACTGAAAGTGTCCTGGTCATAATCAGTACTGGAATGACAGCATGTTCTGGCCCGTCCAGGTCTTGCCCTGGAGCCCAGCTCCCATTCCCCTCCCTTAGTCTGTTGTGGGCTACTGAGCTTGGCCCTGGCATGTTACCCACCTTCAACGCTAAGTTGTCCCCAAGCCACAGTCCTCCCTACCCCCTTTTTTCCCCACTCACACTCTATCTGGCTCACTCTACATTCCTCTGGCTTTACTCTTCCAACAAGCCAGCTCCATTCTTCCCAACTCCCTCCAGGCCATGTCCCCTGGACTTTCTGGGCTGAGTCCTTCTCTCTTCCTAGACACTAAGAACTACACAGGTTTGAAGATGTCTACCACAACCCTAGGAGGAGTGTACCACTGTCACAGGAGGAGTCTGAGGCAGTCACTTGCCCAAGTGACATACCTGTTTAGGACAGGGTTCGAATTTAACTTTGGGCAGCCGGGCTAGAGAATTCATGCCCTTGACTTCAGTTTGCCTGTTCCAGATCAAAACCTGTCATACTGGTCTGGTGGAAGGCTCGTAGTTCAGCCTTCTATCCGTAATGTCTTGCGATCAGTCCACTGAACAGATGGGGAGAAAGAGGCTCAGATAGCCCACCCGTTAGAACACAGTCACTTTAAGGACCTAAAGCCCGTGTTCCATGCTGTCCACAGGATCGAGTGGGATGGGCAGGTACCACGGCAAGTTCTCCTTCGACACCTTTTCCAACCAGCGTGCCTGTCTGCTGCGCAGCTCCGGGATGGAGAAAATCAACGACCTTCGTTACCCGCCTTACTCCAGCCGAAACCTCAGGGTGCTCCTGATGGCCATGGAGGAGAGAAGCTGCAGCTGCACACTGCTGTGAGGGCACTGGGGCCACGGGGCCACCCTGGGACACAGCTGCTGGGGAAGTGGCCTGCTAGGGCCAGGTGGCAGAGCAGTTGGCTCAGCCGCCCTCCCTCTGGGGCTTCCCTTTAGGACCTCTCACTGTTCTGATTGGGACAGGCTAGGGGTGGATGTGAGAAGGGGTGTGGCCTGTCTCCTCCAGTGCTACCCATGGCATTAGGGAGAAACGGGCCCTTCTGAACTACCCACCTTCTTGTGGGTAGTGTTACAGGGAAGCAGTGGTACATGGCATAGGCCATATCCTGTGACCAGGCATGTCTAGGTTCCTTGGAGCCTCTGGTTTCTACCTGCACAATGGGGATGAAGCAGCCTCCAGTCGCGGGGAGTATTAAAGCAGGAGGGCTGACCCCAAGCTACAGGTGTCTTGTCTCTTTTTGGAGGGAGGTGTTGCCTCCAGGTTAAGGCTAAGATCCCTCCCTCAAGGACTCCCCTCCCCTCAGTTCTACACATGGTACCCCCATCTACTCCATTCTACTCAGTAGTGAAATATCCCACCAACATCAGCCCCATGCTTCATTGAATGGCGTTTCCAGCCACTCAACTACTAAACCCCCAAATTTTGACATCCTGTCTCCTCTCCCGGTCCGGTTTGACCAAGTCAACATGTCCTTCCTGGCCCGCAGGACTCCTAAAGGGAGCCTTCCCTGACCACTCCAAACAAGACATGCAGACTGCCTCATGGCTCTCTAGTCACAGGGGCAGGGTTAGGAAAGTCCTGCTACACGCGGCTGTTACGAGGACCAGATGAAGCCTTGTGACTAAAACGCTTAGGCCAGAGAAGAGGTCGCCACCATTACAGTATTCAAATGAGCCACACCGCCCTGCTCCGCCCACCGGGAAATGAAAGTCCCAAACCACGCCCAGGAAGTCCCGCCTTCAGCAGCTCGGAAGTCCGCGTATTGACCTCGCCGATACAACATGGCAGCTCCCTACAAAACTTCAAGCGCCTGTTCCCGTCAGCCAATCATAGAAAAGTTAATTCTGGGCCCTCCTCCGCAGCAGCACCACAGACCAATCGGGCCACAGCAGGAAAGGTCACCAAGGAAAAGGCTTGAGTCGCTCGCCCAATGGCAGCATCCCAAAGTTAGGCTCCGCCCCCCGGCTGAACCGCACCTGGGCCAGTAAAGGAGCCGGCGCGCCTCAAGGTGGGTGTCCAGGGCAAGGCGGCGAAGACAGGGCCTGGGTGGCAGCGTGACGACGGGGTCGAATGTGGTGTCACCGCTCACTCCATGGAGTCTGGGATCCGGGGGGTCGGCTCGGTACCCGTGGCCTCTGCGTCCTTTTGCAGCTGTAAGGCCCGGAGGCCGGCATCCTTAGGCGCATGCGCTGCATCGCCGGATGCCTTCTGCGTTCCTAGGGTCAGAGGTCAAGGGGAAGGTCTGAGAGAAAGTGGTAGGTTGGGCTCCAGGATTACCTGTGGTCAGGGATCTAAAATTGGCAGACCCGCTAGAGGTCAAAGGTCACAGGAGGGGCTCTTTGGAGCGTTGGTAGAGTGCCAGGTTCTTGGCCAACATCCCCTTGGTTGTATGCATCCCTAATTGTCGGGGACTCCCTCCCCCCTGTAGCGAAGGCATAAAGCCTGAGGTCAGGGGACACGGCTTGCCCAAGGTCACCCGGCAGGCTGGGAAAAGTCCTTGGGCTGGGGAGAGGAACTTGACCATGAGACTTATTTAAACCGTTAAGGTTTTTCTGCAGGTGACTTCTGGGTTCCTGCCCTGGTTCCAGTGCCACTAACTTTGGGACAGTCACTTAACATGTCAGGACGACAGGGCTTGTGGCATCTGGCCTGAAGCCTGCCTGGCTCAGCGTTAACTCTATATATGCAGTGGTGGTCAGGGAGTTTAGGTGTGAGCTACAGATGAGACGTAGAGAGGGGAACTGGGTTCAATGAGCTTCTTAGGAGCTGCAGTAGAAGGAACTTGGGGTGCCAGGTGAGTCTTAGCAGAGTGAGGTCAGCTTGAGGCTTGGGGTGCTGTGGGAGTCAGTGCTGGAGAGGGCAGATTTAGACCCATCACCTCCTTTCCTTCCTGTACCCCAGATGAACCGTCTGACCTCACCCATGCTGCCACGGGCCCTGGCCCAGGCTGTGCGCACAGGTAGGTGCAGGGATCTGTTCCTGGGGGTGGGGGAGCCAGGCTTCCTGGTATGAAGTCCCAGCAGCAGAGTGTCACCCTTTGCTTGCAGGACATCTCAGCGGCCGAAGCCTCCATAGCAGTGCAGTGGCAGCAACATACAGTGAGTACCACCTTGTGTCTTCCGACATTCCTGGTTGCGGGCACACCTGAGGCCAGGGACCCTCATCAAAAGAGAATGTGACTGATGGACATTGTGGTGGCATTGAAGGAGGGAGGCGTGTGCTCAAGAGGAATGCTTGACTCATTAGGGGGACCCACGACCCTTTCACCCGGAACTTGAAAAGCTTTGCTTGGGGGCTCTTTGGGTTACCAGTAAGGCTTTGCTTCCCGGGGCCCCAGACTGGCTTTCCGGGGCCCAGAGGCCACAAACGGGCTTCCCGGGGTCCCAGACTGGCCTCCCAGGGCCGCAGACTGGCTTCCCAGGGCCGCAGATGGGCTTCCCAGGGCTGCACTGACTGCCAAGGATCACAGACTGGCTACCCAGGGCCGCAGACTGGCTGCCCAGGGCCCTCACTAAGCCTACCTACCTGCACCTAGGGTTGAGAGTTGAGCTGCATCTTCCAGAGCAGACTCCCTAACCTCCCGTCTTGACTTCCTGCAGAGTATGTGAATGTACAGGAGCTGGATATGGACATGAAGTCTGTGACTGACCGTGCAGCTCGGACGCTGATGTGGACAGAGCTCATCCGAGGTGAGTGCCAGTGGGGAGAGGTGGGATTCGGGTATGGATGTGTGGGGAGGAGAGCAGCCCCAGGCCAGCTCTGTGCCGCTCACAGGACTGGGCATGACCCTGAGCTACCTCTTTCGGGAGCCTGCCACCATCAACTACCCATTTGAGAAGGGCCCACTGAGTCCACGTTTCCGGGGGGAACATGCACTGCGCCGCTACCCATCCGGGGAGGAACGCTGCATCGCCTGCAAGCTCTGTGAGGCTGTCTGTCCTGCACAGGTGAGCTCTAACCCTGCCCCTGCCTTGATACACAGCCCTGGGAAAGTCCCTTTCTTTTTCTTTTGAGACAGAATCTCACTAGTTAGCCCCGACTGGCCCACAACTGACTGTGTAGACTAGGCTAGCCTTGAGCTCACAGAGACCTGCTTGCTTCTGCCTCTGTAATACCAAGATAAAGACACCCACTGCCGCACCACCTGGCAAAAGTCCTAACCCTCATCCTGTGAGTGGACAGTGAGGCCTTGATGTCCAGGTGCTGAGCCAGGAAGCCGGTGGTGGCCTCCACCTCCATCCCAAGTGGGCCATGTGGCACGCATACCCATACCCCACCCTAGGAGTCAGTCGACCGTGTAACATTTGGGCTCAGGAGCCATGGGCTAGTGTCGGGAATCCTGTCTGTGTGCCTGTCCTGGCTTTGAGCCAAGGCCTTGCAGTCAAGGCTCCCATCCCTGGTGGCTGCTCCTCGGGCATGACCATGCTCATGGGCGCTGTGTGAAGCGTCTGCCATTGGGGCTGTTCGTGGAAATAGTAAGAGGCAGAGGTGGCTTCGGTGTGCCCAGCAGGAGCCCTAGCAGGAGCCCTAGCAGATGCAGCCCTAAGACCTGTCATGCCTAGCTTCAGCTCCTAGCTGTGCCCCTGGCAGTAGTAGCGGGCATGGCTTCTAGGCAGTGGGCACTCTGTAGAGCAGGCTCATCCCTATATCCTCCCTATGACTGCAGCAGTAGCTGGTAGAGGTTTTAGTCCCACTCTTTTGTTGTTGTTGAGTCAGCGTTTCTCTGTTGCTTTAGAGCCTGTCCTGGCACTCGCTCTGTAGACCAGGCTGGCCTCGAACTCACAGAGATCTTCCTACCTCTGCTTCTCGAGTGCTGGGGTTAAAGGCGTGCACCACTGCCTCCCAGCTTTATTCCCACTCTTAAAAACACAAAAAGATGAGCCTCCTGACACTTCAGTGTGAGTAGTGAGCATGCCACTCGGGAGTGTCAGGTTCTTAACAGTTCTCCTGGCCTGTGGGTCCCAGGCTGTCCCTCCTTACTCTTGGCTGGCATACAGCTGTACCCCAGAAACCAACAGTTAAAGATATACCTTCAAGTTTGGTCTATGTGCCTCATTACTGTGTGACTTCAGGAAATCCTTTGACCTCTCTGAGTCTTAATTTTCTCCAACAGTGGGGATTGCCAGAAAGGTTGTTCAATATGGCAGTCACTGGGCACTTAATGTCCCAGCGAACCCCTTAGGGTTACAGGTTTCCTTTTTAGTTTTTCAAAACAGGGTTTCTTTGTGTAGCAGCCTTAGCTGTCCTGGAACTCACTCTGTAGACCAGGCTGACCTCGAACTCACAGAGATCCACCTATCTCTGCCTCCCTAGTGCTGGGATTAGCACCACCGCCTGGCACAGGTTCTCAAGGAGCAAAGCAGATGATAGCCTTTTCCTTGTGAGACAGGAGGGTCACCTGGGCAAGAGATGAACAAAACCCTGGCAGAGGCTACAGGGCCATGTGAGGGTGCTCCCTCTGGAGGGCTGAGCAGGTGTCTGAGCATGTGGGCACCCGTGTGAGGGGCAGACCCAGGGGCAGGAGGTGTCTGCCAGTGGCAGTGACCTGTGACCATTCCCTCAGGCCATCACCATTGAGGCCGAGCCGAGAGCCGATGGCAGCCGCCGGACTACACGCTATGACATCGACATGACCAAGTGTATCTACTGTGGCTTCTGCCAGGAGGCCTGCCCTGTTGACGCCATTGTGGAGGTGAGTGGGCCGGGTGAGGTAGCGAGCCCTGAGGCTCCTGGGCGGGGGTTGCCTTGCTGACTTCCTCCCTCTTGTAGGGCCCCAACTTTGAGTTCTCCACTGAGACGCATGAGGAGCTGCTGTACAACAAGGAGAAACTGCTCAACAATGGGGACAAGTGGGAGGCCGAGATCTCCGCCAATATCCAGGCTGACTACCTGTACCGGTGATCTGGCCACCTGGCTGAGTCCTGTGGCCCCTGCTGCCCATAAAGAAGCTATGATCCCACAACTGCCTGTTGTGTTGTATCTGTTTGCCAGGTGGAACCCACCCCAGACCAGGGTGCATGGACCTTTGGCCTTGTTCCCTCAGTGGGCCCCAGCAGCTCGCATGCCCACAAGACCTAACAGCCAGACCCCGTCATCCTCTGACTCACAGGCCCAGCAGGCCTCTTTGTGGTTGGCCACAGGACCCCGAACTATCACACGTGGGCTTTTCTACAGGGCCTGGCTATGCTGGTCACCATGGGCCTGTTGTCCCCATGGTAGTGGCTGTCTGAGAGGTGGACCCCAGGTCTTCTGTCTTCTCAGTCCTACATTGCTGTAGTTGTTTGGACTCGGAGCCTTCCCAGGCTTTTCAGGCCAAAGTCCGTCAAAGTCCAGGAGACTGGGTAGAGGCCCAGTGAGTAAAGTGTCCCTGTCCTGAGAGTGCACACAAATGCAAATGTGGCCACGTCTGCCACCCACTGCTGGGGGTAGACTCAGGAGGATCCCTGAGGGCTCGCTGGCCAGTCCATCTCGTCAAAATGGCAAGCTTCAAGTTGAATGAAAGACCCTGTCTCAAAAATGCCTCAGATGGTGGGCAGCTGAGGAAAGGCGCCTGCCGATTGACCTCCGGCTTCCTCGTGAGCGTGCGCCAGAGTGTGCCTGCATACACTTACACAGAGAGCCTCTTAGGCCAGGGTGTCCTTTGGGGAACAGGAAGCCTGCTATGGGGTGACAGTCACAAGGGGATGACACAGGTCCTGCTGCCTCTGAGCTGGATGTCGCCACTTGCTACATCCCCTTTCCCTACATCTTCCACGCGGGCTGCTGCGTGACTTCAGCTTCCCAGTTTGTAGTCCCAGCCAAGCTGTGTGGCTCCTCTGACCCCGGAATGGCTGTTTCATGTGTGCACACACTGGCAGGCTGGCTGTTCTGTGTGCACACACACACTGGGAGGCTGGCTGTTTCATGTGTGCACACACGGGGAGGCTGGCTGTTCTATGTGCGCACACACACTGGGAGGCTGGCTGTTCTCTGTGTGCACACACACTGGGAGGCTGGCTGTTCTATGTGCACACACACACTGGGAGGCTGGCTGTTTCATATGCGCACACACTGGGAGGCTGGCTGTTCCATGTGCGCACACACACTGGGAGGCTGGCTGTTTCATGTGTGCACACACACTGGGAGGGTGGCTTTTCATGGCTGAAGGTATACCTCTACCTCAGAGCAATCATAACAGTTCTGTGGTCATTGGTTTGCCTGAACTGAAGAGCACTGACCTGTGACCCCTGCTGTACTTGTATGAGGGTCCTTCTCACACCTCAGATCAGGCATGTGACAGCTGTGTCCTGAGGATGCCCACCTTGACTCCATTTCCAGGTAGCCCCAGGCTTTCATTCCATACTCCCCACACACACCAAGGCCCTGTTTACTATATGGGGTCCAAGGATCATTAGAGCTGAGGGGCCCCTTGTTCCTGTGGTCCCCAGTGGGTACAGTCTAGTCTGTCCAAAGTGCAGGCAGCTGAATGACCCTGAATTTCAGTTTCCAGACACTGGAACCTCAAGACCGGGAGCTCCTGGAGAGTCTCCTGGCCTCCTGGGTGCAATTTCCTCAGCAAAGATTGGCCTAACAAACGCCCTGCTGCCAGTGGAGAGGTACCCAAAGAGTGGGGCAGCCCCGTGCCAGCCTTCTGGGACGCTTAGACTGGTCTGGGTGAGGTGGGGATAGCAACAGATCTTGGATCCTAGTACCAGCCTGTGTGTTCTAGGACCCATCAGGACGTAGGTTTTAAGAGGGAAGGGAAGGTGGCCTATTCCCAAGGCCCTACCCCGCACCATGGTTGTCGGTTATCTCCCAGTCCCGGGAGTAAACGATTCTGAGACACCTAGAAACTTCTCAAATGCCACCTTCCTTCTAGTCGCGCCCCCCCGCCCCTCCCCGCAACAGCCCGAACTCAGCGGGGGCGGGACGGGACGGGACGGACAGTGGGCGGGGCACCGCAGACCACGCCCACTCCCCTGCCTTTCGGAGCTGGAGTGAACTGCTCCCGCCGGCTGCCCGGGCTCAGATCCTAAAGCGGCGCTGAGCGACGTGCCCACCAGGGTGAGTGTCCCGCGGGGCCGCGGAGTCTCAGCCCTGTCCCCGACCTGCTTCCTTTGCCCGGGCAGGGGTCCAGGCACCCCACCCGACTCCGGGTGGAGGAAGCTCAGAGGCCACGCGCCGGTTTCAGGCCGTATGGAGTGCAGGCAGGCCGCAAGGAGGAGCAGGAGGATGGGTTGCTAGCACTGGGCAAGTTCGGCGTTCACCTCACCCGGCCTGAGCTCAGGGAGCCTTCTGCTGCGTCTGGTTCTTAGGGAGGAACCCATTCTACAGATGAGGAAACAGAGGCCACCTAACTAGGAAGTGGCGGGGCTCGAGGCGGATTCCAACTCCTTTCCTCGTGCCGTAATCCTCCAAAGGCAGAAGCTGGGAGAAGAGGCTGAAGGAAGGACCAAGAAAGGGGTGCAGGAGTGAAACCGAGCTTCAGGGCATCCGGGGAAGGCTGGAGCACAAGCGGTGTGTGTGGGTTTATCCCGCAGGTGATGCCCTGCTGGCTGCAGGAGACAGGAGCTGTTAAATCCCAGTGCACAGTGTGGACTACAGGGGGCAGGGAGGTACTTCCGTTTGTCTTGTATCTAGATGGTTGGGGTGGGGCAGCCCGGCGGTGTTGGTTATGGTGCTGGGACAGGTCAGAACGTGACCATCATGGCAGCTTCCCGCTGGTCTCCAACAGACCCCTCTCTGGTTTGGGCCTAGCTTCACCTGACTCAACCTGAGTTGACTCACCTATAAGATAAGGCTGGGGTGGGTCATTGTGGTGGTGGTGGCGGCAGACGGCTGCCCGGCGTTGCACGTCCTTAATATCTGCACTCTGGAGGCAGAGGCAGGTTGATCTCCAGCCTGATCCTGGTTCCAGGATAACCAGGGTACTTAGAAACCCTGTCTTGAAAAACAAAACAAACAAGCAAACAAAAAAAAAAAAGAGCAAACGAAAGAAAAAAAGAGAAAAAAAGGCCGGTTGCCTTGGCGTGGTGGTATTTATAGAAGATACAAAGGTTCTGGTCTTTAGCTCACCTCCCCCCTCACAGAGACCCACCTGCCTCTGCCTCCCGGAACTAGCTCTTGTAGACCAGGCTGGCCTCAAACTCCCAGAGATCCTTCTGCCTCTGCCTCCTGAGTGCTGGGATTAAAAGGCATGCGCCACCACCACCCGGCAAGGCCGAGTCTTATTTAATGAAGAGGAAATACAGACCCAGAGAAGGCAAGTGACCTCCTTAGTGGGCACAGAGTTGGTCACAATCTAGGCAGCACCTTAGAGACTTGGTGCCTAGCCCTCTGCTCTGTGGCTAGAGCCATGCTCTTGGGTGATGGCACCCAGCCCTTCCTGCCCACCATTGCCTGTTCAGGGTCTGTCTCTTCTGAAGTCTTTGGTTACCCTCTGAATTCTTTCTGCTCCCAGGCTAGGGATAGGACTGTGGTTCCCTTTTAAGTTAAGAAAACCAGGCCTTGGGGAGGAAGTGGCCTCTGGGCAGACCCATACAACAAGCTGGGCCCTAAAGTTCCTCTCCATAGTGTGCCGAGGAAACTGTCCCACTAGGACCCCTAGCTGCAGACCAGGGCCTGGGGAGAGTGGGCTTGGGGGCAACTGCAGGGCCCACTGGAGTCCACTCTCATCAGGAAATGTCTGTGCCTGCTGGGGTTGGAGCAAGGCCACCAGGCCTTCCTGTTCATTGCTCCACAGTTTCACTTTCATTGGTTTCAACACTAAACTGTCCCCAACCCCACAGGAAATGCTGGCAAGCCAGCTGGCCAAAAGCAGCTCCCAGCCGATCAACCTCTTCAGGTTGTTAGCCCCAGGAGACCTAGAGTACACTCCACCCCCACCCCACTGCCTGTGTAGGGAGGCCGACTGGACGTCAGCTGTCACAGCCTCAGGACTAGAGCCTGGGATCCCAGGGATTAGCAGGAGTCTAGAGCAAGGGTGGGCTGAGAGAGGTTCTAGAGCACTGGGCGGAGCCAGTGTGTCTGGCCCCTGCTGGGCTGGACTGGGACAAGGAGGCCTTGGAAAGCTAGCTTAGGGACAACCTTCGTATCCATTCCACCTTGCTGGGCCTCAGTTTCTCTATCTGTCCAGTGGATGGGAGTAGGTGTATGGACGCCTGCCTGGAGAGGACTCCTGACTAACCTTTTTGCCTGTCCTAAGGATCATGGGTTCCATGTTCCGGAGTGAAGAGGTGGCCTTGGTCCAGCTCCTGCTGCCCACAGCGGCTGCCTACACCTGCGTGAGCCAGCTGGGTGAGCTGGGCCTCGTGGAGTTTAGAGACGTGAGTGGGGACAGAGTCTTGGGCAGGTAACCCCACATCCAGAAGGGGCCTCTTAAGGCCCCTGGCCCTCTGGCCCCTGCAGGAGCATCCCACCCCCTCCTTCTAGCACAGGTGCTCTTCCCATGCCCACTGGCGTGGGTTGAGTCAGCTCCAGCTCATCTTTAGACTAATTGGGCACCTAGCAACGTTTTGGAGGCGGTGCCTCAGGGCTGGACCCCAGAGCAGTGACCTCCTTGGTCCCCTCCCTAAGACTCTGAGTCCTCTGTGTATCCTTCTCAGCTCAATGCATCCGTGAGTGCCTTCCAGAGGCGCTTTGTGGTGGATGTCCGGCGCTGCGAGGAGCTAGAGAAGACCTTCAGTAAGTTGGGCTCAGGCCCACGTTCCAGGCTGTCTTCCTGGAAGGAGACTGGGCAAACTTGGTCTGAGGGGGAAGTACCTCGGTTACCCAGGTGGAAGGCAGAGACAGGGAGTGCAGGCAAAACCGACCAGAGTTGCTGCTGGGGTCTGTAGGGTATCCTTACTCTGAGTGGGTGGAGCAGAGGCCCTACAGCACGGTGCAGTAGCTTGGAGTCAGTCCACAACTCAGAATAAATGGCAGGAAACAAGAGGCATGGGCTGAGTTTTCTCCTCTAGGAGGACTGGTGTGGGCAGAGGCTGG